AGCGGGCTGGGGAGGTTCTGGAGGCACGTGGGGGCCGGCGAGCCCCCAGGCCCAGCGCCCTGCACGGCCGGCCTCCCTTTCTGAGGCTGGGGCAGAGGGGAGGCCCGGGCTGGGCGGGGGGAGGCGCCCACCCCCGGGCTGGCTGCCGTGCCCGGTCCCGTCCCACCTCCACCTGCTGCAGCCTCGGCAGGGCCCGGCGCTCGGGGACGCGGAGTGGAAGCTTGTCCTGGCAGAGGCCGGGCGCGGAGGCTCAGCCTGTCATCCCAGCACTCTGAGAGGAGGCCAAGGAGGGAGGATCGCGCTAGAGTCAGGAGTTGGAGGCCAGCCTGAGCAAGAGCGAGACCCTGTCTCTACTAAAAATAGAAAGAAATGAGCTGAACAACTAAAAATATATAGAAAAAACGAGCCGGGCGTGGAGGCGCATGCCTGTCGTCCCAGCTAGTCGGGAGGGAGGCTGAGGCAGGAGGCTCGCTGGAGCCCAAGAGTTGGAGGCTGCTGTGAGCGAGGCTGACGCCGCGGCACTCTAGCCCGGGCGACAGAGCGAGACTCTCTCTCTCAAATAAAAAAGGAAAAGAAAAATAAACAAAAACATATTCCAAGCCTTATTTTAAAAAAAAACAAAATTAAAAAAGAAAAGGAAATGATCATGCCGGACCGGCTCTCCACGAGGTTTTATTTTTTATTTGGAAACCACAGTCTCGCTCTGTCGCCTGGCCTAGAGCACCGTGGCGTCAGCCTCGCTCACAGCAGCCTCCAGCTCCTGGCCTCCACCGATCCTCCTGCCTCAGCCTCCCTCACCAGTAGCTGGGACAACAGGCACGCGCCACCACGCCCGGCTCGTTTTCTTTTTTCTACACATTTTTAGTTGTCCAGCTCATTTCTTTCTATTTCTAGTAGAGACGGGGTCTCGCTCTTGCTCAGGCTGGCCTCCAACCTCCTGACCTCTAGCACAATCCTCCCGCCTCGGCCTCCCTCCCAGAGTGCGGGGAGGACAGGCGCGAGCCTCCGCGCCCGGCCTGGCGTGCAGAGCGTTTAGCGCGGGTGCCTGGTGTTCGCAGAGGTCGGTTTCCTTCTCCTCCTCCCCTCCACGCCCCGTTTCCGGGACTCCGGGCGGAGAGACCTCTCACTTTGCCGCTTGCAAGAAACAAACACCTGCTCTGGGGGTCCTCCCCGGGGCCTGGGGTCGGGGCAGGTAAAGGGGCCTGCAACCGGGGCGTCCTCCACTCTTCGGCCTCTAGGACCCTGATCCACGGAGATAAGAAAGGAGGGTTCACTGTCTTCTGGGCAGACGACGGCCTGGACACAGGGGACCTTCTGCTGCAGAAGGAGTGCGAGGTCCTCCCGGACGACACCGTGAGCACCTTGTACAACCGCTTCCTGTTCCCCGAAGGCGTCAAAGGGATGGTGAGAGCTGGGGACCCCGCCCTGGGCCCCCGCGCCTGGACACAGCCAGGAATCCCTCCCCAAATTCCGGGATTCCGGGCGGAGAGACCTCTGGCTTTGCCGCTTGCAAGAAACAAGCCGTGCCCTGTGTGAGGAGAGACTCTCGCTCGGGACCCACATGAACCCGACTCGAAAACTTTAGCCAGAAAGGGAACGTTCCGGCTCGTTGAGTAGATAATACTGTTCTGTATTCCTGCTGCTTATATTCTGGATTAAGGAAAAAAAAAAGTAAAGAAAAAAAAAAGTAAAAATATAAAAGAAATAAAAAAAAATTAGATCATAATGGCCGGGCACACGGTGGCTCACACCTGTGATCCCAGCACTCTGGGAGGCCGAGGTGGGAGGCTCGCTCGAGGTCTGGAGTTCGAGGCCAGCCTGAGCAAGAGCGAGACCCCATCTCTACTAAAAAAAATAGAAAGAAACTAACCAAAAAACTAAAAATAGAAAAAAATGTAGCCGGGTATGGTGGCATGTGCCTGTCATCCCAGCTACTCGGGAGGGAGGCCGAGGCGGGAGGCTCACTCGAGGTCTGGAGTTTGAGGCCAGCCTGAGCAAGAGAGAGACCCCGTCTCTACTCAAAAAAATTGAATGAAATTAGCCGGACAACTAAAAATATATATAGACAGAAAATAAATTAGCCAGGTGCAGAGGCTCACGCCTGTCATCCCAGCACTCTGGGAGGCCAAGACGGGAGGCTCGCTGGAGGTCAGAAGTTCGAGGCCAGCCTGAGCAAGAGCAAGACCCCGTCTCTACTCAGAAAAATTGAACAAAATTAGCCGGACAACTAAAAAAATATATATGTTTAGAGAGAGAGAAAAAAAATTAGCCAGGCGCGGAGGCTCACGCCTGTCATCCTGGCACTCTGGGAGGAGGCCGAGGCGGGAGGCTCGCTCGAGGTCAGGAGTTCGAGACCTATTCTATGCGAGGCAGGTCCGGGGTGAGTCTGCTGCAGGGTTCGGACTTAGTGTGGAGTCACCCAGGGGCCGGGAGCGAAGGGAGGGTCCTGTTCCCCTGAACTCTGAACCCCGGGGTCTCCCCAGGTACAAGCGGTGAGGCTCATCGCAGAGGGCAAGGCCCCCAGGATCCCCCAGCCCGAGGAGGGAGCCACCTACGAGGGGATCCAGAAGAAAGAGACGGCCATGGTGAGTCCTGCCGGACAGTGGGCTGGGAGGCCGGGCGCGGAGGCTCACGCCTGTCATCCCAGCACTCTGGGAGGAGGCCGAGGCGGGAGGATCGCTCGAGGTCAGGAGGTAGAGGCCAGCCCGAGCAAGAGCGAGACCCCGTCTCTACTAAAAAAATAGAATGAAATTATCAGACAATTAAAAATATATAGAAAAAAAATGAGCTGGGCGCGGTGGCGCATGCCTGTCGTCCCAGGCACTCGGGAAGGAGGCCGAGGCAGGAGGATCGCTCGAGGTTAGGAGGTGGAGGCCAGCCTGAGCAAGAGCGAGACCCCGTCTCTAGTAAAAAAAAAAAATATATAGAAAGAAATTAATTGGCCAACTAAAAACATATAGAATAAAAAAATCAGCCAGGAATGGTGGCGCATGCCTGTCATCCCAGCACTCTGGGAGGAGGCCGAGGGGGGAGGATCGCTCGAGGTCAAGAGTTCAAGGCCAACCTGAGCAAGAGTGGGACCCTGTCTTTACTAAAAAAAATAGAAATAAATTAGCTGGACAACTAAAAAAATATATATAGAAAAAAAAGTGAGCCGGGCGTGGTGGCGCATGCCTGTAGTCCCAGCTACTCCGAAGGGAGGCAGAGGCAGGAGGATCGCTCCAGGTCAGGAGTTCAAAACCAGCCTGAGCAAGAGCGAGGCCCCGTCTCTACTAAAAAATAGAAAGAAATGAGCTGGACGACTAAAAATATATAGAAAAAAGAGCCGGGCGTGGAGGCGCATGCCTGTAGTCGCAGCTACTCAGGAGGGAGGCTGAGGCGGGAGGCTCGCTCGAGGCCAGGAGTTGGAGGCTGCTGTGAGCGAGGCTGACGCCGCGGCACTCACTCTATCCCGGGCGACAGAGCGAGACTCGGTCTCTCAAAAGAAAAGAAAGAGAAAACCTCAGAGTCCAGGAGGCTGGGATGGTCCCAGCCTCCGCCATCCGGGCCAGGGGAGGCCGGGCGGGGACGGGGACAGACGGGGTCCTGCCGCCCCTGCAGGTGAACTGGGACCAGCCGGCGGAGGCCATCCACAACTGGATCCGAGGCCACGACAAGGTCCCCGGCGCCTGGACGGAGGCTGGCGGGCAGGTGTGTTAGTCCGGCCTCTACCCTGGGAGGCTGAATGTCCAGAGGCACAAAAGACGCCTCCTTGGGAGTGGGGGGAGGGGACAGCTGGCTTGTGGGGGGTGACACAGCCTGAGTGTCCCGGGTGTGACGCCGTGGTGGCCCCAGGCCACCGGGCGAGGCCAGACAGAGACCCCCAGGGTCGGAGGCCAAAGAGGGAGGCTTGGGGAGGGGTGTGATGGGGCGGGGGGGGGCGTCCAAGCCCCCTGGCTGTGTCCGAAAGAAACTCAAATGTGTCTCCCCATCAAAACCACCCGGGATTGAGGCCGGGCGCCCTGGAGGCTCACGCCTGTCATGCCAGGGCTCTGGGAGGAGGCCGAGGAGGGAGGATCGCTCGAGGTTGTCAGGAGTTGGAGGCCAGCCTGAGCAAGAGCGAGACCCCGTCTCTACTAAAATAAAAAAAATAGAAAGAAATTAATTGGCCAACTAAAAATATATAGAAAAAATGAGCCGGGCGTGGACGCTCACTCCTATAGTCCCAGCTACTCAGGTGGAGGCTGAGGCGGGAGGATCACTCGAGGTCAGGAGGTCGAGGCCAGCCTGAGCAAGAAAAAGTGAGACCCCGTCTCTACTAAAAAAAAAAATAGAAAGAAATTAATCGACCAACTAAAAAAAAATATATAGAAAAAATGAGCCGGACGTGGAGGTGCGTGCCTGGAGTCCCAGCTACTCGGGAGGGAGGCCGAGGCAGGAGGCTCGCTCGAGGCCAGGAGTTGGAGGCCGCTGTGAGCGAGGCCAGCGCCACGGCACTCCAGCCCGGGCGACAGAGCGAGACTCGGCCTCTCTCAAAAAAAAAAGCTAACTAAATAAAAGCCGCCGTGCTCGGTGACGGGCGGCCTCAGGCTGTGACGACTTGAGCGAGATTTCCGAGGTCGGAGGCCAGAGGCTGGTTGTCGGCCCTCCCGGCCTCGCCGACCTCGGCCTCCTCCTCCTCCTCTTTGCTGCAGAGGCTGACCTTCTTCAACTCGACCCTCAACCTGGCGGGCGTCGTGCCGGAGGGCGACCCCCTGCCCATCGCGGGGGCGCGGAGGCCCGGCGTGGTCACGAAGGCCGGCCTCGTCCTCTTCGGGAACGACGACAGGATGGTGAGCCTGGCGTTCCGGGCCGGGCCCCTCTGCGGGTTCCAGGCCACCCGCGCCCCCGGCAACACCCCGGGCGGGCGGGCGGAGGTTCGGCCTCCAGTTCCGGAGGGAGGCCGAGAGTCCTCAACCTCCCATCGGGGACTCCCAGAAGCAACAAGGAGAAAAGCCTTCTCAGGGAGGCCGGCCTCGTTTGTTCTGTCCCGATGTCTAAGCACTGTGGGGGGCGGGGCGTGCCTCGGTTTCTTTTTTTTTTAAAAATTTGAGACAGAGTCTTGCTCTGTCACCCGGGCTGGAGAGCCGTGGCGTCAGCCTCGCTCACACCAGCCTCTGACTCCTGGGCTTGAGCGATCCTCCTGCCTCGGCCTCCCTCCCGAGTAGCTGGGACTCCAGGCATGCGCCTCCACGCCCGGCTCAGTTTTTTTCTATAAATATTTTTAGTTGTCCAGCTCGTTTCTTTCTATTTTTTTTTTTTTTTTTTTAGTAGAGACGGGGTCTCGCTCTTGCTCAGGCTGGCCTCCACCTCCTGACCTCGAGCCATCCTCCCTCCCCTGCCTCCCAGAGTGCTGGGACGACAGACATGCGCCACCCCGGCTCAGTTTTTTTCTATAAATATTTTTAGTTGTCCAGCTCGTTTCTTTCTATTTTTTTTTTTTTTTTTTTTAGTAGAGACGGGGTCTCGCTCTTGCTCAGGCTGGCCTCCACCTCCTGACCTCGACCGAGTCTCCTGCCTCGGCCTCCCAGAGTGCTGGGACTATAGACACATGCCGCTGTGCCCGGCTCATTTTTTTTTCTATATATTTTTAGTTGTCCAGCTCATTTCTTTCTGTTTTTCTTTTAGTAGAGTCGGGATCTCGCTCTGGCTCAGGTTGGCCTCGAACTCTTGACCTCGAGCGAGCCTCCCGCCTCAGCCTCCCAGAGAGCTGGGACTACAGGCATGAGTTGCTGTGCCCGGCTCATATTTTTTAACATATTTTTAGTTGTCCAGCTCATTTCTTTCTATTTTTTTTAGTAGAGACGGAGTCTCGCTCTTGCTCAGGCTGGCCTCGACCTCCTGACCTCGAGCCATCCTCCCTCCCCTGCCTCCCAGAGTGCTGGGACGACAGGTGGGCGCCACCACTGCGCCCAGCCCGAATTATGTTTTTTTGCCACACGTGTGCGTCCTTCTCACGGACACGATAAAGCTGTTGCCCGTGCGAGAGAACCGAGGCAGGCGGGGGGGGCTCTGTGCTTTCCAATGTCCCGGGAATAGAGGCCGCTGTGGCCTCCCTCCTCCTTTGAGAATGCAGCTCTCCCTCTGCCCCTCTCTTGTGGTGGAGGCTGGGGTCAGAGGTCTGAGTACCCAGTGCAGCACCCTGACCCCTTGAACCCCGACCCCATGAACCTGACCCTGTGAACCCTGACCCCATGAACCCCAACATCATGAACCCTGACCCTGTGAACCCTGAACACGTGAACTCTGACCCTGTGAACTCTGACCCCGTGAACCCTGACACTGTGAACCCCGACCCCGTGAACCCTGACCCGGTGAACCCCGGCCCCGTGAACCCTGACCCTGTGAACTCCGACCCCATGAACTCTGACCCCGTGAACCCCGACCCCGTGAACCCCGACCCCGTGAACCCCCTCCCTCCCGCAGCTGCTGGTGAAGAACCTCCAGCTGGAGGACGGCAAGATGATCCCGGCCTCCAACTTCTTCAAGGCGGCCGAAAGCAGCGCCCTGGAGCTCACGGAGTCCGAGCTGGTCACCGCGGAGGCCGTGAGGGTAGGAGGCCGCACGGTGGGGCGGGCTGCGCCCCGCACAGACTCCCCGCCAATCCCGGTCCCTGAGGCTGGCGCTAACCCACCGGCCTCCCCGGGCCTCTCTGTGTCGGCCCGGGTGCAGCGCTGGTCCGCTGCTTTGTCGTGTTCGTCGCTGTTTCGGACAGAGCTCCTCGCTCTGTCTCCGGGCTGGAGTGATGGCCCGTGGCCGTTCAGCCTCGCTCACAGCAGCCTCGCGAATGACCGCCTCGAGCGACCTCCAGCTCAGGACAACATCTCAAAAAACCGAGTAGCTGCGACTGACAGGCCACTGCGCCGAC